AAAAAATAATATAAAAAATTATTTCTAAATTGTTTTCTTTTTTTTTTTTTCACATAATCAAACAAACCAAATGTCAAATCCCTTGTCACGTAGGCATGAGATAACTATATTTGGCCACACGAGGCAGTCCCCAAATGGCAATTAACGGTAATTAACAGCAGTTAAGTTTCAGTGCTAGTAAGGGTTAAATTGCTTCTATTGCAGAGTTTAGGGGCTTATATGCATCAATTAAAGTTTGAGGGCTTAATAGCAATTCTGGGGTTAGTTCAGGGGCTTAACTTATGGTTTTGCCAATAATACCGAAGACAAGTCCTCCGCGTGAAGGATTGAGGGGCAGCACCCTATCCCCTAAGCAGTGAACGCCGCTGAGGGGTTAGATTTCGACCCATTCTCTCCGTTGCCCTTTCCCGTATAAATATAAAAAATATAAAGATATATATTTTTTTTATTAATCGAAGCAAGCCAGAAGCACCTGCAGCAGGCTGCGTTAGTGTGTAGATTTATTGGGGGTTAAAATTTTAGTTTTATTTTTTATAAAATTAATCTCGCTTTTTTAAATTTCTTCATGTTCCAAAAAAATCAGAGCAAGCCAGAATAATTATTTTTCTGCAATGTAAAATAATAATTTTAACAACAAAAATAAAAATCAAACCATGTGTATTAAAAAAATCACAAAAAAGTACAAGAATTTTAACTTTAACATAGAAAAAAAATTTAGTTAATAAGTTAAGTATTCAGTGATAATTTTTTTTCAATAAAAATAAAATATTTTGAATTTGAATCATTTTTAAATAATAAGAGGTGACTGTCTTATATTGTGTAATTCATAATTAAAGTAACAAAAAACATAAAAACAACATAAAAAAATAGAGGATGACTTACCAGAATGAACTGAGCAAAAATTAAGACAAAGGGAGTAGTTTTTTTTTTTTTTTTTTTATTTTTTTTTTATTTTTTTTTTTTTTTTTTTTAGTTTTTATTTATTTATTTATTTTTAGTTTTTAAGGAGAGAGGCTGTTGCGGGCGTGGGGTAGCTTTGAAAAGGAAAAATATATATATTTTAAATTATGGATAAAAGTGTATTCTATATTTTTTAGTGTGGTATTGTCAAATTAAAATGTGATAATAAATCTATTTTTAAGTGTTTTTGAGATTTAAGTGTTTTAATTTTTAAATTATCTAAAGATTTAAAAGAATGTCTTCGTATTTAGCGACGAAGAAATTCTGGTTATGAAGTTTTCTTTCCAACCACGGCATAAATTAAAGGTAAAGTGAAAAACCGGAAAAAAGAAAAATCATAAAATGGTTAAGGCTTAAATCTTAATCAACAAAAATTGGCCAATCTTAACTCTTGTACATCTTAAGAAATTAGAATCACCTTTATCATGGTCTGACTTACGTGGTAAAAGTCGAAAGAATGGCATGAGAGTACGATCACAACTTTATGCTATTATATTTGAAATTTCTTTTGTATTTCTCTTTTTAATAAGTTATTAATTTTTTTTAGGAGTCTAAAGTGTTTTTAATTGAATTTTTTATGTATTTTGAGATTTATTTATTTTTAAATAATTTTAAATATGCATTTCACATTGATTTACTACATTCAATTTTTTAAATGTTAATTTTAAAATCAGAATTTTATAAAAGAGCATCATGAGCCTTCATCACGTTTATGGGTTAATTAGATTACCATCCTTATAGGTGGGATTTAACTTGAGACTTGCATGTATAATGTATAATAGGCAATCCATGAGGGCGCACCTGTTGTGACATGCTGAATAAGCCTTCTAGGTGTATTCTGCTTAAAAATTTTATCTTGCTTCTTCTTCCTCTTCTTCTTTTTCTTTCTGGTATAATCTTGCTCCTTTTACCCAACAATTTTAGTGATCTTAATATTTTTTTTCTGATCTTTATTTTTATTCTTGCTTGTATATTCCCTCAAGGGGATGCGTTTTAGGGATACAGAAAAATGGTACGAATGTTGTCTATCCTCAACTTATTAGTAGATTCATTTTGGTGGTTCTTGAGCCTAACACATATATAGGCACTGCATATTGACAAGTTTAAATTTTATATACATTTACATGTCCTTTTGGCTTAGAAATTAAATTTTATTTGTATTTTACAATTTAGTCTCATCTCAATTTACATTAATCTCATTGTTTTGTCGGTGAAGATTAAAAAACAAACTTAATGATTATTAATTCTTCAACTAGTGGTACTGGTAGCTTAAACATGTAGTGGTATTTTAGTCATAACATTCTCTTTACATATCAGATTGAGATAATTCATGAGGCATTAGTGTTATTCTTGATTTTAATAATTTGAAAACCAAATGTGAATTAAAATATATACTTAATTTATTCCTAGTGATATTAAATTGATTTTCATGAATTCTCAAATATTGTGTTTTGAATATGTTTCCTTTTATATTGGAAGCCTATTTGATTGTGTGATTATTTATTTAATATATTTCTTTTTGTTGCAGTTAGCAAAAAATAGAAACTATGTTCTAAGTTGAGGTTCCAACCACTAGCATAGGGTCTAGAACTCCTAACAATTCAGTTTTTGGGCAAAATTGTAGAAAATTGTCTAGGTTCCAACCCCCAAAAATCAGGGTGCAAAACCATGAAACATATTGTCCATTGAAGAATCAAGTAGAGGTTCTAACCCTTGAAGGCAGGTTCTAACCCCTTGTGTTGAGTCATTGGATCACTTACCATATTTGAAATATATTTATTCCAAAAGAGCTCCAATGGTCATGAAACATTGATTGAGCAATCTTAAGATATAAAATCAGTTCTAGAAGAATGGAGAACACATGGAAGCAGAGTATTCAACTGGAAAACCAAAAACAAATTGAGCTTTCATCTTGTTCTTTGAAAAATCAATTATTTTCTACACTTATTCTTGTCCTCTTTCATTGTAACAAGTGAGAGAGGGATTGGAAAAACCTTCTTCGATCTATTAATTCATCTTTGAGGTATAGGAAGGGTTGAAAGATTTGTAACAAGGGAATTGAATGATTGATAACATCAGTAAACTATTGTAATCAGTTTCACTAGCACCCATTGAAACTAGTATTAGTGGATTGAATCTCGAGCATAGGAAACTTGGGGATTGGATGTAGGCATCAAAGAGGGTGATGAACTAGGATAAATTGAAGCGTTTGATATTTCTAACCCAACTCTTTTATTTTATGTATTTTAGTTTTCAATAGCTTATTGATTGTTTCTGGTTAATAATTGCTTCATTTTGAAAATTGGATAAAGTTTTTGGAAACCCAATACACCCCTTCTTGGGTTGCTATTTGAACCAACAATTAGAAAGTGATAAGTTGAATTCATATAGATATTAATGTGGAATTTTTACTTTGATATTATTGATATTTAGATAAATTTTATAAGATTTTACATGGTTTTCATTCTTCGTGCAGAAAAGAACTTGAATACATAATAATATGAGTTTTTGGGATTAATTGAACATCTTTTGAAAGTTGAGGGACTGAATTGCAAGAAAAAAGCACGCATCTTTGGGACCTAAATAAATGAATCTTAAGTTTTAGGATTTGAATGCTCATCGTACGAAATCTGGAGGACCATATCTGCATTTTTACCATTGAAGAAATTGCAAAAAGAGGTGGGAGCCCGACACGGGTGCAGTGTCGACACGTAATTCACAATATCGGCACCATTCAGTCAACGTCCAAAATTCAAGTTTTCTATTATGTTTCAAGTCCTACTTCTATTCCAATTAGGGCCTGCTTGGTGTAACTTGTTAGAGCTTTTACTTTTAGAGTATCGTTCATGAGTAATAAGTTTAAATTTTTATTGGAAGGAAAATTTAAAAGTTATTTTTAAATATAAGAAAAAGTGAGTAAAAAGGAAGTTTATGAAAAATTTGAATTTGAAACTTTTGATCTTTTACTGTTTAGGGTATTTTTAAGGGTAAAAAATCGTTTAAAAATGTAAATTTTTAGGAGGAAAATTTAAAGTTATGGGACATGAATAATATTAAGAAGCTGAAGCAGTTGGGAAGCTACACCAAACACGCCCTTAGGGTTTCTAAAATCCTACAACTACCTATCCAAATTCAGAATTGAGAGAGCTATGAAGGCTGGTGGCAATCCTCTTTTGAGCATTCTTGGAGGTCAAGATAGAAGATCAAGGAGTTCATTTTCCTCAAATTGAGTTTTGTCCTTCCTTATATTCTTATGTTCATAACTGTGATTTCAGATTTTATTATTTTTATTATGAACTAATTTATTTTATTAAGGGTACGATATAGCCTAATCCATTTAATATAGATTTAATGATTTTTATGCTTTCAATTAAAATTATTCGCATGATAAGTTTATATTATTAAATTTAATGCTTTGAAAGCCCGATCACCTTTTAAATGATTTAGTGATTTATGCATGAACTTGAGAAAGAATTGTGTAAATTACGCCAATAATAATATAAACCATGTGTTAGAGGTAATTAACTCACATGTAGTAATGGATGAAGAAAAGAGAGTTAAGAGCTTCTCCTTCTTAAGCTAGAGGTTTTCATAGAATTTAATACTTATTAGTTTGTTTAAAATTATATAGAGATATGATTAATTTAACAAATAAGTGAAGGATTAACTTGACTTGAGAAAGCTAGTTAGTTAATTTAGAAAAATCTGCCATTACATGTAATAATACTCAATAAATTAATTTTGAAAGCATATTAATTCAGAATTTATATTAATTGATTATAGTGAAATCAATGCCTTAATATCAAGGTTTTTAAAACCGGACCGGACCGGCCGGTTGAACCGGTCGGACCGGTACCCGGTCATGAAAACGGTTCGGTTCATATAAGAAAACCGTTTTAGGTCAAAAACCGGTCAAAACCGGTCAAAATCGGTCAAAAACCGGTAAAATCGGTAAAAATCGGTCAAAAACCGATAAAACCGATAAAAACCGGTAGAACCGGTGAAACCAGAAAAACTACCGGTTCAATTTCTCATGCAATCTTCTTTCAATTTTTCCAATTTCACCCTTCCCATTCCTTTCTTATACCCATTTTAACCTTTAACTTTAACAAAATTACAAAATTATCAACACCAAATAAAAAAATCAATGCCTATAGCTTGCTCCTCTCAT